TCACAGTAAAAAGGGATTACAGAGTCCTGTAATGTAGGCAACTGGGGGCTTGATTCCACCAGGACCTCTGAGAAACATAGAATGCCTCCTAGAATTGTCTGCCACAAACACAGGAGGCTGAGGTCTTTTTCTTCATTAGTTGAGTTGAGCATTCCCCCCAATAGAATTATCTCCCCCACATTTCTGGGCTTTGTTTCCAGGCTGAGCAGGTTCCCATGCCTTTACAAAGGCCATGAAGCAGAAAAACTAAAGATGCACACTGCGTGCTTGAGATAAGACACTATGTCAGCGTGAGTCTGAACTCATACGGACTGATCCATCTGCACTGGGGCAGATAGCAGATGTTAGGGGCACCCCAAGCATCAACTGCATTGTGTCAAGAGCCTGCCCCTTTATAACCATCCAAATGGCCCTCATTAGAAAGGTGAGTCCATCCAGTGTTGATGAAGATGTGGGGAGAGGGGCACTCTCATGCACGGCTGGTGGGCATGTAAACTGCAGCAGCTTTTCTGAAAAGCAATCTGATTTTGGCTTAGTGAAATTTAGCTGGCACATGTGCTGTGATCTAGTGACCCTCCTCCTGGGTGTAAAGCCCAGGGGAATTGTCCCATGCACAGGTCCAGAAGGACATCTTTATAAGGATGCTCATTATTGAGCTCTTGTTGGCAACAACTTGGAGGAGAGTTGGACACAACCTGGGTGTCTATCCTTAGGGGACTGGATAAGAAAAATAAAGTGGATGTACAGTGTGAAATACCATGAAGCCGTAAGAAGCAACACACAAAACTGATATACGGCAACATTGATAGCTCTTCCTGACATCGTGTTGAGTGAAAAAAGGTAAGAAAATGAATGAGATTTATAACACAATATCAGTCATGTAAACTGAAAACCCACTCGCAAAAAGGTGTTACCTATTTTACATGGGTCCATGCATATATAAAGGACACACACCAAGCAGACAAAGGGGATGCCTATGTGGGGGAGGGGAAGAAAAGTGAGGATTGGAGATGATGGGGGAAGGCGGAGGGAATAAGACAAGCAGGGCCTTACATGGCCTGGGTTTCCTTACGTGCTACGAACTGAGGATGATTAACCACCTCCCTCTACCTAAAGGCCTAAATAGATTTTTTTTTAAGTAAATAAAGTGCCTGGAACACAGTAGGTGTTCAATAAACGGTTGCTAAGACTGTGGCTACAGGGACAATTGAGCAATTTGCCACAAAGACAAAAGCCTGACATCTCCCCTAGAAACTAGAAGGCAGAGAGGAACGGCTTTCTCCACCCCATGTCTCACATCTGGGGGGGAGGGGCGGGGCGGTTAATATCAGGTCACTGGACCCCCAAGGCAGTCTGTCAATTTGGATGGGAAAAAATGATATATATTTTTACACTAACCTGTGACTGTCATTTAGCAAGTCCACAGTTGCATTAGTAGTATCTATGAGTTTATCACCAAGAGGAATCACAGATATTTTTATATCCTACTGTAGTCGTTGCAGATATCTTGAAATATCCTCAGCACTACTTGGAAATTATGGTAGTTATTACACCTGCCACTAGATCATATTTAATGCATTAGTAAATGTGCATTTATCACATATCTGGGTTTTTCTTAATTTTGTAACTGTATTTCAACATAATTGGTTTCCCTCTGATTTTCTATGTTTTGCTTTATGTGACTAAAGCTATTATTCTGAGAAAAGGTCTGTAGGCTTTGCTAGATGTCACAGGGGCCCATGGCATAGCAAAGGTTGAGACTCCCTCAATGGGTTTTGTCATCATCTCCTTCAGTTAGAGGATTTGTGAGAAATCCACAAATAGGACTTTCCATTGCACTGTCCTCCCTGGGCAAGAATGAGTTAAATGGTGGTCATCCAGCTGGCGTGGTGGCTGCTGCCTCTCAACCCTAGGGGGGTGGGGAGGAGAGGAGCAGAGAGGAGGAAGCACGAGGGAGGAAAAAAGGAAAAAGAAAGAAATGGGAAGATAATTTCCCTGGCTTCTTCACATCACTGAATTGAACTTTGCTTTTAATAAAAGTATTATTAAATAGAAATGGCGTGCTCATTATTTTGCATTTAGGTGATATTCAGAGACACGGTCCCAGTAATTATTTTCACTAGGCAATGCCGACACGTTCTAGTTTTTTTTTTTTTAAAAGATTGGCACCTGAGCTAACATCTGTAACCCATCTTTTTTTTCCCTCCTTCTCCCCAAAGCCCCCCAGTATATAGCTGTATATTCCGGTTGTAGGTCCTTCCAGTTGTGGCATGTGGGATGCCACCTCAACATGGCTTGATGAGCGACGCCATGTCCGCACCAAGGATCCGAACCAGCAAAACCCTGGGCTGCCGAAGCGGAGCGCGCAAACTTAACCACTCGGCCCCGGGGCCAGCCCCCGTTCTGGTTTTCCGAATGCAGTTGAACCAGCATCTCCCCTTCCAGGCATAGACTTGCCCCAGGCTATGGAGAGGCATAGACAGTCTCTACTGTCTTCGTCCCCTTGCTGCCCTGGAACCAACAGGCACCCTTAACTAGGCCCAGAGGTTTTGCACTGGTCCTGGGGTACCTCGTTCTGACATGGAGAAATATCCCACCTCCATCACTGTGACGTTTGCGTTGGAAGGCACCCCAGAGAGAGGCACTCTGTTCTTTGTACGCCTCACAGCTCTGCAGACCCAGGTTTACTTTAGGTTCTCCTCAAGGCAGACCCTGACACAGGATTCAAGTGCAAGTGGCTTATTGAGGAAGCCCTGGTAGAGACAAGGGGCGGCAAGACAATTCCAGAAGCGAGGGCAGCCAACAATGGGTATGTTATTAATCCAGCCACCACAGTGGACAAGTGGATCTCCATATCCCGGGGAAATTCTGGGAAAGGTGCAGACCATGCACCTCAGTGCCACCCTACCCAAGGCACAAGGGAGCCAGGGCATTTATACACTAACCCCCAGAGTCATTGGTTCAGGACTGCTCCCAGGTGCTGTCACTTCTTCAGCACTTCCACCTTGCACAAGCAAAGCGGCCTTTTGCAGTTTTGAAAAAAGTCTCGGGCACAGAGCTGCTGACACTGGCTTTGGGGTTGAAGGGAGCCCGCTGAATCGGGAAGGTGGGTGGGGAAATGGTGGGCGACCAATAGTATCTGCTGCAGGCGCAGTGCTTGCAAGCAATCTGCTGGTCCTTGCGGTGACAGTCTCTCCACCTCTCCGGCTCCATTTCCCCATCTCTGCAAAAGGCAAGCGTCTCTCCAAAGGTTGCAAACTCGTGGCCTGCAACCACATGAGGTTCGCAGGTGTGTTTTGTTTGGCCCACGTGACTTTTTTAAAATTTTAGAATTGCACCAACTTAAAATGAGGAGGTTTCGGGGCTGGCCCAGTGGTCGAGTGGTTAAGTTTGCGTGCTCCACTGTAGGCGGCCCAGTGTTTCGTCGGTTCAAATCCTGGGCGCGGACATGGCACTGCTCATCAAACCATGCTGAGGCAGCGTCCCACATGCCACAACTAGAAGGACCCACAACGAAGAATATACAACTATGTACTGGAGGGCTTTGGGGAGAAAAAAGGAAAAAATAAAATCTTTAAAAAAAAAATGAGGAGGTTTCACCTGAAAACATGACTTTTTATTTTCTCTAGAAAAATCTAGTTGGCAACACTAGAACCCCAAACTGGATGATCCAACACTATTTAGCTCTGGGAATCTGCTTTCCCCTTTTCCGCCCAAAGCCAAATGGTTTAAGGGAAAACTTTTGCAGCTTGCCAGCAAATTCTCTCCTATCGCCTTTTTGGAAATTGTTTTTTGTCTGTTTTGTTCTGGTTTTTGTAGAAGACAATGCAACTTCTCTGCCTTTTTACATAGTTAGGGGTGGGGAATCAAGTTAACATCCCAGGTAGCCTCAGCCTGCCCGGCCAGGGTTTAGAACCAGGATGTTTTAGCATCAGCTGGCAGGCCCGCTGCTCACAGGGAAGGCCCCGCCATCTGTCCCCAGAGATGGGGAGGGGGCCGTCTTTCTCCCTCCACACCTGCCCTCAAACTCGGGCCCAGGAACATTTTATATTCCAAGAACAGCTCTGGTCTGTGCCAAATATAGGACCCCAAATGCCTCTGCTCTTTCCCACATCCTCCTTCAGCTCCTTGCTCTGAGATGAGTCAGATGTCTCCAGCTCAAAGAATCTCTCCTCGGCTGTTGGGTTCCAGCCAAGCCCCAGAGGCCACCAACTGTGCCCATCAACAGAAGTGGAAGTCGAGGGCTCTCAGCCAGTCGCTTCGCTGCCCTGGGAGTCAGCAGCTGATGACACAGGCTGGCCCCTGATTGCCAATCTAGATGGTGCTTTAAAACAGCCATCCCCGGCGATCCCCTCAGACGCAGATGTGATTAGTCTAGTCTCTGAGGCCTTCGAGAAAAACCTCAGTGACTGAATAATAATGGGAAAGCCGGGCTGAAAGGGTGGAAAGTCTGAATCCAAGGGTCTTCTCGAATGAAATAAAGTTTTATTCATTCCACGTGCGTGAAATAAGGCGCACAGGAGGGTCAAGGAGCAACTCTGGCTTAATGAATGGATGACAATCATCCACTGGGTCACTTTCTTCTTTTAAGAACAGAAATGGGTACCATTAAAATGATTTTCTAGTCCTTTGAAGCAATTTGAATTCTTGACTGAGTTGGGAGTTGCCTTTCTAAACATGATTGAGAACATGGCTCTGGCAGCAGACTGCTTGGGTTTCAAATTTGGGCTCTCACTGTGTGAGCTTGGGCAAGTCTTAACTTCTCTGTGCCTCAAAATCATCACCTGTAAAATGGAGAGAATAATAAGAACTCCCTCACAGGGTTTTGAAGATTAAATGAGACATCCATGTAAAACACTGCAGACAGATTCTTGTTCAGAGTCGGAACTCAGTAAATGTTATACATTATTGTTGTATTGTCATGAATGATTTTTTTCCAAGGATAGTGCCAAGATTAACATCAGTTCTGGTTCTCCATGACAAAAAAAAATAAATCCAAATTTCTGAATAGTGGGGTCTGAATTGATGAGCTCTTCCGAGCATCTTGCTTTGCTACCAGCCCCTGTCACAGTAAATCTGATAAGCAATGTAGGGGGTGCGCACTCACCGACAATAGCCCTCAGTGGGGCTGTTGGCATAGCCCAGCCTTGGCTGCCGGCCTTGGTTGAGAGGAGGGCAGGGGCCTGGCCCCGGTGGAGCAGAGTCTCCGTGCAGTGCCCACGGGCCCAAGGAATTCGTGTATCCAGCTGGCCTCCCCCCTGCATATTCGCAGGTGGAGGGGAAACATCAGAATCCAATTTTTTGTCACCTTGTGAAATTATGAGCCTCCATTCCAGTTGTGTTGGTATCATCAGAGCACAGGGGACACGTGGGGTGATGGCTGTTGCTGGGTTACTCCTTGTAAGTTCAAACAGTTCCACATGCTGAATGACAACATATTTGCCGTGACCTGGGTAAATTAAACTGATGCTTCCTGCCTAGGTAGACTTTGACGTGATTCGGTACATCTGCTTCTGATGAAGGGCATGCCTCACTCAGTAAAGCAGGAAATAAAAAGGCAGCACTACCTTGCCTGTTAGTCTCCCTCCCTCCGTTCCTTCCTTATTCCCGTCCTTCTCTTCCCCTCCCCTCCCTTCCCCTCCCCTTTCTTCTTTTGCCCTCTCTCTTTCCCTCCCCTTCTTCCTTCCTTCACTCCTCTCTTCCTTCCTTCGCTCCTCCTCTCTCCTTTCCTCCCTCCTTCCTTCCCCTTCTGCCTTCTTTCTTCCATCCTTCCTTCCCTCCCTCCCTTTTCCTTCCTTCCCTCTGTCTCTTCCTCCCCCTCCTTCCACTTTGCTTCTCTCTCTTCCGTCCTTTCTTCTTTCCAACCTTTCTTTTTCTTCTCACTGTCATTTTTTTTTCTAAGAGGAGAAACGCCAGTGCAAGCTGCTCTGTGTTCTTGGCGCCAGACCCTGTTCTCCATGTGTACACAAGTCTGAGTCCTGTGTCCAAACAGAAGACAGAAATGTGATCAGGGCCGGGTACAGGAGGGGATTTGACAGGTCTTCTGCATCCCAAGTCTCCAAGATGCAAAGGTAAAGTCGGGCTCTTTTCTTAAAGGTTAAATTTCACATTCTAATTGCCTCACGTGGAGGCTGCTCTGAGCCGGGGCTTCCACAGTCGGCTTGGCAGCACTCCCAGCTCGCTGAAGCTTAGGTCTCCCGCCGAGTGCCTCCCTGCTTGCTCCAGCTCCATGAAAACTGAGGCCACAACAACAACAAATACCAACGGGCTGGGCAATAAGTGAGTCCGCAGTGCTAGGGGAATCCCATTTTAGCCCTTCATGCTTTTACCGAGTGGATGCTTGTTCCAGCTACTGTCACTCTAAGACTTGGTGGCTTAAAACAACAATTATTATTGTCTCTTGGGTTCTGGTAGTTGACTGAACTCATCTGGATGGTTCTCGCCTGGGGTCTCTCAAGCCATCGCAGCCAGATAGTGGCTGGGGCTGGAATCTTCCAGAGGCTCAACTAGGCTGGATCGCCAAGATGGTGCAGGCACGAGGCTGGTGGTTGATGGGAGCTCAGCTGGGACTGTCCGCCTGAATGCCTACATGTGGCCTCTCCATGTGGCTTGGGCTTCTCTCAGTGTGGCGATTGAGTTCCAAGAGTGTCCTAAGAGGGAGCGCAAGAAGCTGAACCTTCCAAGAACAAGCATCCAAGAAGTAGTATTCCAAAGGAATTAGGCAGAAGCTGGGCGACCTTTGATAACCGAGCCTAGAAGTTACATAGTAGCACTTTCTCCGTAATTGATTGGTTAAAACAGTCACAGAGCCCACGCAGACTCAAGAGGAGAGGACCTGGACTCCAAGTCTCAAGGGGAGGATGTCAAAGAATTTGGGGGACATATTTTAAACGTGCTACAATGTTAAAAAACAACAACTCTGCTCATTTTCTGTGGCTTAAAGGTCCTGATTGTACTGAAGTCTAAAACACCAGTCTTTCTCTGCTACTAATGCCAGCATCTGGAGGGGAAGCTGGAGGATTTGGAGGGAGGAACAAATGGCACATTTTACTGCTTCTCTTTCAGTTGTCCTTTTAGGGCATAGATAACAAACCGGAAATGCCCAAGATGAGTGTAGCCTGAAATGAGTTTAAAAAATTCATCCAATATTTTAAAGGTTGGAGATTTCACATAAGACTCTGAATTTCCAGCATCTCTTTAAAAAGTAGATCTGAGCTGAATGGCAGCTGCCCTCTTTAGACGGGGCTGATGTGCACCAGTTAGCCACAGTCCCCACCCATTCCTGTTGCCCCCAATACTAAGATTGGATATCAATACCCATTTATCTATATGGCTACACTGTTTGGGTTGTTTTTTTTTTTTTTTTTTTTTTTGCTTTTATTTTTGTTTTAGTTAGAAAAACATTTATCTTGGTACCATATCTTTATCAAAAGTGGGAGAATACAACACTAGACCAAGAGGGCCGCATATCCAACACAAATGGGAAAAGACATTTTTAATGGGCATAGAAAACTTCCTATGTGTTTTTAATACACTCCAAAGAGGATCTGTGTTGATTGTTCTTGGACCCTTCCCTCTCTCTCCTCTTCCCTCTCTTCCCTCCATCTTCCCCATTTCCCCCTCTCCTCTCCCTCCCTCCTTCTCTTTCTCTTGCTTTCAATAGTTAGCGGGAGGATGGGGAAAGGCGATCAATTCTTGTTAATAACGCTGAATTGATTTCATTTTTAGTCTTATGCTATTACTTGAGTTAAAACAGTTTTTTCCTCTCCTGCTGTTTGTCTTTTACACGCCAACCAACAAAATAAACATTTGGGACCTCAAAACACTATCTTTGGTATAAGAGACAGATCAAAAGCCCTCCTGGCCAAGCCTAAAGCGGTCCCCCAAATGAGGTGGGTGGTCTGCTCTCCCCCGGGAGAGGCCCCTTGCCAGCGCAGCCCTGGGCCTTTGTGGCTGTGTTTACGTTCCAGGCCAGGAGAGGCAGCTACTCCGGAACAACCACTCCAACTGGTTGTTCAAAGTGCAGCAAACTATGAGACAACTGACAAGTGGTTTCTTTGGACTGACAACTCTGTCCTGGCCACATTTGGTGTTCAACACTTGGCTACAGAGTCCAGCCCCCTTGGCCTGAGAGAGGCCTGTCACCTTCCCATGCTTGGCTCGGGATTCTTCTGTTCCATCCACCATTTCCAGCCCTCATTTGATTGATTGCAGAAATCTGTTTTCTTCTCTCTCTCTCTTCCCCGGAGCTTGGGTCCGACCCTGTTAGCCCCTTGTTCGCGGTTCTCCCTGGCAGCACTTGGCCCTGGTTCATATACTGCAAATGAGCGTGTTCGAACTCTCTACTCCTTTAACACAGACAGCAGTCTTCAGAATGTCCCTCCTGGATTTCTTTGAGGAGGAGGAGTTCCTTTGAGAGGGAGCTGGTGGTCTTTCTCTGCAGGACAACCTCCCACGCTGGCTCACAGCGTAGTCCTGGGAGTCCCTGGATGGAGGAGCGTCCATCCTCCGGGGGCCTGGTACCCTACAGCAGCACCCATCGGGCACTATGAGGTAGAAGAGCCAAGGTGGGGAGTAGGGCCTGGTTCACTTGTCTCCATGTCAAAAAAGCAAATGTTTTGGCAGAAAATTTCCCTTCAAGAATGTTCCGATTTTTGAAGGAAACATTTTTCCAAATCATTTCCTCAGGGGAAACTACTCAGCTATCTCAGGGAGGAAAATATTCCCCCTTCTGAGCTCAGGATGCTACTTCGACTCATAGAGGAGATGTACCTGTGAAGTAGTGAAATTGATTTCCCGACTCCTGCGAGAACCAGCTTGCATGTGGGTGTGTGTGCATGTGCATGGATAGGCATTTGTGTGTGGGCATGTGTGTCTGTGCACACGTGTCCACGTGCATGTGAGTGTGGGGGGGGTCTGCATTTGCTTGCATGCACGTGTGTGTGTATTCGTGATTGTACATGTAGGCACAAGGAGTGTGTGAGCCTGTGTGTGCATATGTGTATGTGTGTGTACACATGTGCACTCGTGCATCACAGAAGATCACAAAGGAGCCTAAAGGGAAAGAGGGAAGGCAAAGGCTGCTCTGCCGAGAGCCTACTGAAGGGTGGGATGCTGGAAATTCCGCACAGTGCCCTTGCTCCCATGCCTCGCCCACAACTCAATGCCCTCTGGCGTCTGGCCCCATAAAACCCAGAAGTGAAGTCATTTCATGTGTCCACATGCCCGTCACTGCCTGAGGTTGGGTCATCAGGGAAGCATGTGAGACTGTCCCCCAACCTACAGCCCCCACCACAGTGGGACCCCGCAGCCAGGTGTTTGCCCATGGTGCCCACTCTCACACCTGCTCAGAGCTTCCTAGACTTCACAGTGACACCTACTTCTGGGCATTTCCTATTTTATGACATAAAGAATCCTAAAATTTTGAAGTTGACCAAGAAGGAAATGATTTGAATTTAATGATGCGGGACAAGGACCCTAAATTATTTGAGCTTCTGTGTCCTCATTTATGAAATGAGGATGCTAATATCTTCTTCCTCAAAGGACTCAGCGTGTGTGCAGCTGGCTGGTAGATGTATGTAAAACTAGCCTATTACATGGACTGACGTGGATAGGGTCATAATGGGAAACAGAATTTTCTCCAACACCTGCCTTTAACCCTGTAACCATCTGCTCCACTCTCTATCCTTGGACATCTTTACCAGCTCCCATACCTTCCAGTAACCTTTGGGGATTGAATTGCCCAATCTGATCCACTCCAGCCTGGCCTCAGGTTTGGGGACCTGCCGTGGGAACAAGGAGGACAGTCTGTGCCTGCACCGTACCACCATCTCACACGCCTCCAGCCCCTTTCTTTGGCTATTTCTAGGTCTGCCTTCTTTCCTCTCCTAACGCATTGGAGTCTGGGAGGAGAGATGGGAGAAAAGAGCACCTTTCATACCTGACTAGCCCTCCCATAATCCCATCCTTGGGCTCTCTCCAAGGAGGGACCCAAATCATGTGCTCTCGTGGGGCATATTTATGGGCGCTTGGGAGGTTCCGCAAGGCCCTCAGCACTGCACCGTCCCTGACGACCTCACCCTCTAGCTGAGCTCACATGGCACCCTCTCAATTCCTGCCCATCCTGGTTCCCCCCACGAGCCCTCCCAGCTGAGGCCCCTCCTTCAGCAGGCAGCTTACCTCCTGCAGGGCTCCCTCAGGCCCGGGCAGCCCACTCCCTCTGACCACTCCAAGTCCTGGGAGTGCGATCTGGCTGCCCCTTCCTGTGTCTCCCTCATCTGCCATCATGGCTGATTCCAGCCACCCTTCCTCCTTCCAGATTCTTCAGGCAGAAAGCAGGCGCTGGTCTCTGCTCTCTTATGTCTCCAGCCTCCCACGGCCAGGTCAGGCTCTCCCAGGAATTCCAGGGCACAGGTGCGGGCAGTCCAGAACCCTCTGCAGCTCAGGATCACATCTCTGAGGAGAGTTGCCAGGTTCCCCTTCTGGCAGGCTCTCATTGTACAGATGACAGCACTTCTCCTAAAGACCCTGACTTGTGCTGGTGGCAGGGTATGTGGCGGGAAGTGGAACATGGGAAGAGCAGGAAAAACACCAGGTGCCTCCCTCCAGATGAACTCCCCTCCATACAGACACACACGCGCACGCGCGCACGTACACACACATAATTCTCACATTTCTAGACAGTCAGCTTACAAAGGTTTACAGGCTCAGGAGGGAGATGTTCATGAGGCAATTTTTCACTCACATGAAGTTGAGTATGGTGGTTGAGAGTGCAGGCTTGGGGACAGAGTGTCCGGGTTCAAATCTGGGCTCTGCCGCTTCTCAGCTGTGTGCCTTTGGGCAAGTTACTTCACCTCTCTGTGCCTCCATTTCCATGATTGTGAATGAGGACCTTCCCTATAGGATTGTTGTGAGGGTTAAAAGGAGTTGCTATAGGAACGTGCTTCATAGTTCCTGGTACGTATTGGCTGCTCAATCTGTGATAGCTATTGTGGGATCCAGCCAGTTACCATATGAAATGCTAGGCACTTAGTATATAGTGAGCACTCAATAAGTATTAGCCTTTGGCCCC